TGTGGCCGTGGCTCAGCTCCTCCCCTGCCGGCCCGAGGGAAGCTCACACCAGGACCGTGACCTCCTGGGGGAGGGGGAGCCCGGCCCGGGCGGTACCTGGCGGAGGGGATGGGGGCGCTGTGAGCCGGAGGCCGTACAGGTGTTAGGGCGCCTCACGTGGAGCCCGGCAGCCAGGAAAAGCCAGCTGAGGAATCCACTCTCCAAGGAATGCTGTCTTTTCCCTGCGGAAGGGAAACTTCGGGAGCGGAGGACAGAGGGGAGACAGGTGCAATAGTGAGGGGCGGGCTCCAAGTCCTGCGGAGTAAATGAGCAACCGCCTCGTGTAGGAGACCTTAACAATAAAACCAAGAAACCCCGACACTGAACAAGGATCATTCTGTTTCCCTGGGCATTTGTAGAATTAACTTTCTTTCTTTTTTTTTCCATTACTACTACACGCACCATAATCTGTGGAGCAAGCCCTGTTTCCAATACAAAATAAGCTTAGTAGAGAAAACACGTAAGTCTCTAAGAAATCAGAAACAGATACTGTTACCTAGTACTTAATTGTTAAATAAATGTATACAAGCATTTTCCTCTAACGTGGCAACAAAATATCTCTTCAAAGTTGTATCCTATTGAGACACTTAACACTGCTATATTGTATTTCAGAATGTTACAGATTATCTAAGTGCATTGTTACAACCAAAGAAACCTAAATAGAACGTAGCAACTCAATGAATTGCTAAAGTAAAAATGGATAAATGCTTGCAATGATATTTTTGAAATCTTACATAAAAATAAAACAATGAAAAGAAAAAAACCTGGTGAGTATGCTCCATCAAGGGTAACATTTGTTAAATATTAGGCTTTTTGAATTTTTTTTTCCAGTAGGAACTGTATCCTGTTCATGTTTACTTATCCTGTATCCTGTTCTTATGTTTACCTACCGTTTAATTTGCCAGGATTCTGTTACTTGTGAAATTATGCACTGAACAGCTCACTTGGCATGCAAGAGGGAATACAGGCCCTCATTCTTCTCAGTGTGTGGGTGTGTGTGTCAGGGGGGCGGAGAGGACCCAGGTGGTGGAGGAAAATTCTCTCAAAAGGCATTGTGAGTCAAGGAGTCCTGCATTAGTTAGAGAAGGGCCCAGTAAACCTGGCTGATCCCTTTTCTCTGGTAGCTATAATTATCATCATCCTTTTCCCCCTAGTTTTCCTTTAAGACACATGAGCTCATTGGAGAGAAAAGCAGGGGTGGGGGGGTGGGGGGAGGTATCTTCTCTTCCCTCTCCCTGGATGGCCATTCCGCACAGCAATCCTTTCTCCTCCATTCTCCTCTCCGGATTTTGGGCATACTTCACATGCACTTAGTGTGTTTTTCAAGTACCTCATCTGAGACTCCAATGTCGAAGTCAGCCATGGGGGATCCAGTCACCTTAATCTCCGCTGACTCATCTTCTTTCTTAAAAACATAGGCCCCTTTGACTTTTTTCATGAATAAATATTCCAATTTACAAACATACACCGATTATGTAAAGAATGACAATATATCAGATTTTCTGTGAAATACCACTACTACCAAGTAATTCTTTAATTACTCTTCACAGAACAGAAGTATGATCTTATCTTGGCCCCTTTGATTTCTTGAATTTAAAAAATTTTGGACCAGGGGGTCACCAGGTGGCATGGTGGTTAAGGCGTTGGACACTCCCACATAGCCAACCACAGTTCAAATTCCTGACCTGGTGACTTGCTTTGTCAATTTTTCTCTCTCTCTCTGTCTCTCTCTGGTCAAATTAAAATAAAATGAATAAATAAAATTAATTCTTTAAAAAATTGTTTTTGGACCAGGATTTTAAATAATGCAAAGTCTACTGCCTATTTCATCTTCGTTGGGTTAAACTTGGAACTTTTCTAGTGATAAATCTCTGACATATATTTGGTGGCTAAACAGCCAACCTACCACATGCTTTGACATCCACTGAGTCTAATGTAAGTTCAGAATCCCTTTTCAAGCTTTCGTTGTAGAACAGTAGCCTTTTTTATAATTATTAATTTAATTTAAATTTTTTTATTATTATTTAATTGGCTAGGACACTTGTATTCACCAGAAAGAGAGAGACAGAGAGAAAAAGCAAAAAAGCAAGCTGCCAAGTCCAGGACTTGAACAATAGTTGGCCAGCACCTTAACCACCACCCCCCCTGCTGGCTCGCTCTCTCATTTATTTTCACATGAAAGTGGTACCTGATTATGGTCATAGATAAATAAAATCCAGTGGTGCAGGACTACAACTGACAAGAAAAAGACTCTGTAACAATTCCCCCAAAGGTATCAACTGTCAATATTTTTTATAGTCTTCCAAAATTTTTCCCAAATGAGGTAGTTGGTGTAACTAAAATTGGAAATATTAGCAAGATTTGCATTTGTATATCAATGTTCTCTAAGAAGTCATCCTATTGTTGCTCTGTAACCTAATTGTTACCTATAATGAGAAAGCATTAGTTCCTTGTTAGCTTTGTACTGCTAACTTTACCCTGCAGACAGGTGCACAGCAGGCATTC